ATGATCATTCAGATACAAGAATGTCGACAACACTAGTTTTAGGAGCTCTGTCAGCATAACCACGCACGTAACATTGTACGAGTAGGAACGGTTCGTTTGTGAAGCTTTGACCAGAATTGATTGGGCTATGAAGAAAACGATGTAGCCTACGAAAATGAGCGCCGAGAACCTCGTGGGGAAGATATCACCGAAGAACTTGCTCTTTGGGACCGGTTGAGACATGCTGCTCGCTGTTTTTTGGCGCCGGGCCCTCAATGGATAATTGGCATCAGATGTTGACCTCAACAATAAATGCGTTCGTTGTTCCACGCACTCTCACTGACGGCAGTGCGTTGCATCGAGAGCTCAATTCTGGCTCTCCTGAGGGGAGACACTACGTGGGCTACCTCTCTGCAGCCACAGCACACAATCGTCGACGCAATGATGGCAGGAACACCTAGGAACGTCCACAGTTTCGATCGCTCTGGGCGATCTTTGACTTGGCGCCGTCACTGAAGGCTCTCCGGCTCGGAACGGTGCAGGGAGCAGGAACGAAAGCACCGAAAAGCTCCGATACAGTGAAGGTCAAGTTGATGAGCAGCCTCCTTTTAACCTCATGTCCACAAAAGATGAGAGGGGGCGAGTGAGAGTCATCAGCTAAGCGCGTATGGGTGCGTCGCATTCCATTCCGAATACCTAGCATATCATGTGAGGGAGGATTCTTCGGCTGAAAACGAAATTACTGCGTCTTTCAGAGATGGGCAGGGGAGAGGACTCGGCGAAATGCGTGGCGGGGGCGATACTCGAGCCGACACAGTCAGTACGATTGGATATCGCTCCTCGATCTCTCGAGATGTATTGTTAATCAATTAATTATAATCTCTGTCGGATCATGGCGAACATTCATTCAATCCGGCTTCTCGGCGCACGGTTCGGAGCCAAAGCTATCCTGTTGGAGCTCGCGATCGTGGCGCCGTATGATTCGATTCGCTTTTTCCAAGGTATGCGAACCTTCTAACACCTTGCCACGAGTGCCGGACCGATTTCCTCAAGACCTTTTCCCAAGGGAAGGATTGTAGGAGAGCTTCATCAATTCACTTAAGAATATCGAGGATTTCATTTTTCTTCGTTGCCAGGGCTTCATTTCATGTGTGCTGCCCTTTATCTCTCGAAATCGTCAAGCGAATACAGAATATTCAATGATCGCTTGATACGACTGTGGAATAAGCTCGGAACCAGAGCGAAGACTCTGATCGAATACGTTTCTAGCGTTGCTGCCTGCTCCGAGAAATGTCAGAACTTGTAAGCGCTCAACTCAGAACAACATAATGTGTAATAATATTCCCGCTGAGAACAAGTGAGGAAAGCGATTCATCCGTTGAATGAAAGCTTGATCCTCCTTGCTCAAAGTCAGCTTGAAGGAAGATGAGATAATGGATGATGAACAATGGCACAACCATGAGATCCCTACCGCCAGTCTCAGCATTGGTGGAGGAAACAGGCGCTCTGCATCGCGGTGGCGAAATTTAGATGGGGAGAGCGTGTCCCCTTGCTGCCTCCTTCTCCCTCTGCATGTTGCCCATCAGACTCTGGCGCATCAAAATCCTGGCTTCCGGGTGAGCCACATTTGGCTGGCAGAGTTCGATCCGCTCGGAATCTGATCGATGGAAGAGATCGAGTGAAACGGAGCGTCTCGGAGAATGGGACTCTAGTGTTTTTCGAAACTTCGGGTTTATTCCTCAATCCTAAGAGAGATATATCTGAATATACATATGTCTGTCTCTCGATTTCTAGCAAGCATATCTACTCTGGACGGACAGGAGGCCCATTGACCCCAGGGTGCAGGAAGGTGCACGATGGCCCGAAGCGGCAGTGTCCAGCACTGAGGAATTTGCACAAGGTGCGAGGCTCCTTAGGGGGAAACTTGGCTCCAGACCTGGACGACCCTCGTCTCTTGTGAGGCTCTGTTTGCCTCGACGGCATCATGCCAGTCTGGAACACCGGCGCGTTAAGATACGCGGGAGACTTATATTTTGCGACCACACTATTAGGCGACTCCGAGGACACGGCTCTCCGAGGAAGAAAGCCAAGCGCTGACTTCCTCCGAGCTTCGGCTTCGGCGAGAAACTCTTCGGTGAAATACTCCGGAATCGATCGCGAATTCTGAGTTCTCGGCGAGCTTCCCGAACGACATCTGGTAGGCGGCGGAGCTGCGAAGTTTTGGTGGAAGTCGGGGATGAACCGCGGCGATGCACCAATGTGTGCCAGCACCGGCTGACGGCCTCCCGCGAATTCAATCTGCGAAGGAGTTCTCCATTGAGAGAATGCTCCGCCAGCGGCTGTCAGTCCTTCAGGGGAATTTCCAGGATCACTTTGCTTGATCTTCTTTTCCCCCCCTGAACCATGTTCCAAGGTCATCCTGCGCTTGGAGCCTTCAACCCTAGGCAGCAAGTTCAGCAGCACGTCCAACGAGGGGTTAGCGTGGGATTTCGTCTGAGAGGAGAATGATTGAATGAGTCCGGAGCTTGAGGTGATCTCGAGGAAGTCCTCGGTCGGAAAATGAATATAAGAATGTCGACGAGAGGAGACTCACCATTCTGGATCCGTTGGGATGCTTCTTATGTACTTGATTTTGCTTCGGTGGACTCGAAGTCTTCGCACGCAGGAGGCAGGAACGAAAGCACCGAAAAGCTCCGATACAGTGAAGGTCAAGTTGATGAGCAGCCTCCTTTTATCCTCATGTTCACGGAAGATGAGAGGGGGGGGAGGCGAGAGAGAGTCATCAGCTAAGTGCGAATGGGTGCGTCGCATTCCATTCCGAATACCTAACATATCATGTGAGGGAGGATTCTTCGGCTGAAATCGAAATAACTGCGTCTTTCAGAGATGGGCATGGGAGAGGGGCTCGGCGAAATGCGTAGCCGGGGCGATACTCGAGCCGACACAGTCAGTACGATTGGATCTCGCTCCTCAATTCCCCGAGATGTATTGTGAATCAATGAATTATAATCTCTATCGGATCATGGGAATTATTCATTCAATCCGGCTTTTCGGCGCACGGCCCGGAGCCAAAGCTATCCTGTTCGAGTTCGCGATCGTGGCGCCGTAGGATTCGATTCGCTTTTCTCAAGGTATGCGAACCTTTTTACACCTTGCCGCGAGTCCCGGGGCGATTTCTCCAAGACCTACCGTATATCTCAAAATAAAAGGCATCCCCCAAATATAAGTGACTCGCAAGGATTGCTATAATAGAAGACACCCCCCAATAGAAGACACCCCCGAATAGGAGACACCCCCCTTATAAAAGACACCCCCTAAAAGAAGACACCCCCAAACAGAAGACACCCTCCATAATAGAAGACACCCCGAAAATGCAGGACAGTCAGTGTCTTCTATTTGGGGGTGTCTTCTATTATAGTATTTTTGACAGGGTCCTGTATTGAGGGGATGCCTACTATTGGGGGGTGTCTTTTATTCGGGGGTGTCTTCTATTATAGTACTTCCGACAGTGTCTTGTATTTGGAGGGTGCCATTTATTTGGAGATATACGGTATTCCCGAGGGAAGGATTGTAGGAGAGCTTCATTAATTCAATTAAGAATATCGAGGATTTTGTTTTTTTCTCGCTACCAGGGCTTAATTTTGATGTGTGCTGCCCTGTATCTCTCGAAATCGTCAAGCGAATACAGAATATCGAATGATCGCTTGATACGACTGTGGAATAAGCTCGGAACCAGAGCGAAGACTCTGATCGAATAAGTTTCTAGCGTTGCTGCCTGCTCCGAGAAATGTCAGAACTTGTAAGCGCTCAACTCAGAACAACATAATGTGTAATAATATTCCCGCTGAGAACAAGGGAGGAAAGCGATTCATCCGTTGAATGAAAGCTTGATCCTCCTTGCTCAAAGTCAGCTTGAAGGAAGATGAGATAATGGATGATGAACAATGGCACAACCATGAGATCCCTACCGCCAGTCTCAGCATTGGTGAAGGAGACAGGCGCTTTGCATCGCGGTGGCGAATTTTTGATGGGGAGAGCGTGTCCCCTTGCTGTCACGAACCGGGTTCGGTGAAGTTTAGGTATTTACATCGGTACGCGCGTAAAGACCGATTATGTATATATAATACCCTATCTGTCGTGAGGTAAGGGGGAATCTCCGAGGCCCGAGAGGGAGAGGGGTCACGGGAAAGGGGGGCTGTTGGAGACAACCGCGCATCCAGTCAGTTTTTAGTAAGTCAGTGACAGCTTCAGAGACGATTCACGGTCGTCTCTGCCAAGCTCTGAATTGCTAGAATAAAATTACCCCTGTGTCCACACCCAGTGAAACATAAGTCATCAGACTCTGGCTCATCAGAATCCTGGCTTTCGGGGATGCCGCATTTGGCTGCCAGAGTTCGATCCGCTCGGAATCTGATCGATGGAAGAGATCGAGCGAAACGGAGCATCTCGGAGAATGGGACTCGACTGTTTTTTCAATACTTCGGATTTATTCCTCAATCCTAAGAGAGATATATCTGAATATACATATATCTGTCTCTCGATATCTAGCATGGCTATCTACTCTGGACGGACAGGAGGCCCATTGACCCCAGGGTGCAGGAAGGTGCACGACGGCCCGAAGCGGCAGTGTCCAGCACTGAGGAATTTGCACAAGGTGCGAGGCTCCTTAGGAGGAAACTTCGCTCCAGACCTGGACGACCCTCGTCTCTTGTGAGGCGCTCTTTGCCTCGACGGCATCATGCCAGTCTGGAACACCGGCGCGTTAAGATACGCGGGTGACTTGTATTGTGCGACCTGTATATTTGGCGACTCTGAGGAAACGTCCCTCCGAGGAAGAAAGCCTAGCGCTGACTTCTTCCGAGCTTCGGCGAGAAACTCTTCGGTGAAATACTCCGGAATCGATTGCGAATTCTGAGTTCTCGGCGAGCTTCCCGAAGAAGTTTTGGTGGGCGGCGGAGCTGCGAAGTTTTGGCGGTCAGTCGGTATAATGTCTTCAATCCTTCTCCGTCTCGAAGGTTCTTTCGCATTCCTCTATCGGACGGGAAAAGCATACTCTTCCACATATCCAAAGAGGAACAAGCCTCACCGTTCAAAGCTTAATATATAAGGATGTTTCCGGTTATGCCGACTTCGGTCCGGAGACCGCAAAGTTCGAATTCTGGAGCGCACGTCAACCGTTCAACTGGGACCTGCGGAGTGCGTTGCATCTGCCAGAAGACGAGAGATTACCGTCTGTCAGTAAG